CGCCCCGCCCCGATGCCATCCCTATAAATAATTCATGTAATATTAAATTTGAATTCTATGTAAACATTTCTTGGTATAAATATGAATTTATCATTTTGTTCAATTCTTAGTTTGCATTTAACAATTTTTTTTTTGCTATGAAAAATTTTATATTTTTATAATTTTATTTATACAATAATACGTGTCAAATCGGAATAAACCGCGACCCGTGACCCGCATGGGTTCGACCCGGATGGATTAGCAGGCGGGCCGGGTTGTAGTCCAAAATATACTTGGAACTGGCCGGAAAGCCGTAGCGGGCGGGCTTTTTTCACACGGGTTGTTATCGAGCTCACATGTTGGCGGACCACCCAACCCGGACCACCCTGATTGACCCCTCTAATTGTCAGCGACAATTTCATTTTGTTAATCTACGCATTTGGATCTCATACAATATGACTATACATCGTTTCGTGATTTGAAGTCGCTGTGCTCTTATGAATACTATAAAAAAAATGTAACATTTTGTTTCCAAGCCATTTCCACTGTTACTCGTTATACAAAAAATAAAGTTTGTCTTATCAAAATAAATAAATAAATAAATAAAGTTTGAATTTTCAGCCATCAGAATTCTCGAAGCCGACTTTGCTTACTTACTTTATCAAGGCATACAAACTTGTTGACTTTCACTTTCTGTGCATATAAATATGCACAAAAAATCTTTGCTTTACCATCAACACAAACACAATCTACAAATATTTGTACTGGATATCTTTGTTCTGTCTCGTTTGTAACACAATTTGTTCTCTCTTTTTATATTATCAGGTAACGAATCGAGAGTTTTTCTGCACAAAAAATACTAGCAATGAGGAATTATTACTTTAAACAAATGTCAATTGCTTTGTTATTCTTGCTTGCCGTTCCTGCCACCATGGTGCTAGGCCAGGGAACACGGGTTGGGTTCTATTCAAGGTCGTGTCCCCGGGCAGAATCCATCGTGCAATCCACAGTGAGATCCCATTTTAATTCGAATCGCACAGTTGCACCTGGATTGCTCAGAATGCACTTTCATGACTGTTTCGTACAAGGTTGTGATGGCTCTATCCTTGTTAATGGTGACGACGCTGAGAAAATGGCCGGACCCAATCGTTTATTGAGAGGATATGAAGTTATTGATGATTGAGGCTGCATGCCCTGGTGTTGTTTCTTGTGCTGACATTCTTGCTCTCGCAGCTCGCGATGCAGTTGTACTGGTAAGTTTGTTTTTCCATTCATTTTTTAATGATCAATATTAGTGATAGCACATGTCGCATGATGTGTCAGTACCATGAATTACGGGTATCTAATAACATACTCTAAGAGAAGTGTATGTGCTTCACTCTTTAAGCAATAGGACATGTTCGTGTCTGATACATGTTAGATGAGGATACGGACCATGAATTATGGGTATCTAATATGTGTTGTACATGGGCACGCAGTACATACTCTAGGAGAAGTGTATGCGCTCACCCTGTAGTGCTTCACCCTCAAGGCAATAGAACTTTACATCCAGGAGCGTCCATATGTACTCATCGTCCTAAGTGTCTATTTGATTGTTGATGTAGGCTGGTGGACCAGGATGGGCTGTGCCTACCGGACGGAGAGATGGGCGGGTTTCATTAGCATCCGATGCTTCGAATCTTCCAGGCTTTACTGATTCCGTTGACGTTCAAAAACAGAAGTTTGCAGCAAAAGGTCTCAATACTCAAGATCTTGTCACCCTTGTCGGTAAGCACATAATTTACTCGCAAGTGTAGAATTAACGAAATCTTGTTCACTATATTCTATGGTCTATAATTTTATGTCGCATGTTAACCAAACATTGCCTTAATATTTTTAATTTGAAATAGTCACGGAAAAATCATTTGCTGAATGACCTTAAGCGACCGAATCCCGATGTTTAAGTCGCATTTTTTAGTTTTATAGCATTCAATCTAACTCAAACATCATTGCATGAATATGTAGGGGGACACACCATTGGCACCTCAGCTTGCCAGTTCTTCAGTTACAGATTATACAACTTCAATTCAACTACTGGTGCTGACCCTTCCATCGACTCCGCATTTCTTCCTCAACTTCGGTCCCTTTGTCCAGAAAACGGCGACACTTCTACGAGGGTAGGGCTCGATAACGGAAGTGAAAACCGGTTCGATAACTCGTTTTTCGCCAACCTGAGGAATGGCCGCGGAATTCTTGAATCAGACCAGAAGTTATGGACTGATGATTCCACAAAAACATTTGTGCAACGTTTCTTGGGAGTAAGAGGACTACTTGGATTGACATTCAGTGCTGAATTTGGGAGGTCCATGGTAAAAATGAGTAATGTTGAGGTTAAGACAGGAACTGATGGTGAAATTCGAAAAGTTTGTTCTGCCATTAATTGATGCAATTTAAGGTTTATTTTATTCGTTATGGACTAAGTTTGTTCTTATCAGCGTAAGCTGGCATCTATTGTATGTATTCTTCGAAATAAATTGAAACCAATAAACCAGTAATTTCTATGTTTTGCTCTATTTACCATTTTGAATGACGTACGACTCTCTAAATATCAAATGCTCTGTATTTTAGAAGGCTAATACTTGAAAGTAAGTTTCAAAAGAATGAATTTAACTCTCCAAATTTAAAAAACTAAACTCACTATCTATTCTTAAATTGCATTTAATAAATCACATATTTCAATACCGTACTCCTCAAAATACATTTAAATTAATTGGTTATTGAAATATAAGAAATTATTTTACATAAAATAAGAGAAGAAATCAATAAATATTTTTTGAGAAAAGCAAAATAAAAAGTCAAAATAGAGAGCATTGTTAGAGTGTATAAAATTTTTAACTCGTCGGTTTGGTTCGTCAAAGCTCGGCCCAAGTATGACTTGGGCTCATTTCGGGACAAGATCGAGCCCAAGCCGAGCAGCGGGCTCATTCGGCTAACAAAGCAAGGCTCAAATCGTGGGCTCGTAAAAAAAAAAGTGACCAACATCGTTTCATAAATTTAAAAAAAAAAAAACTCTAGCTCGTGGGCTTCACTCGCTCAACTCATGAGCTCACGAGCTCGTGGGTACATGGACCGAGCCCCCATTGCCATCACTAGATATTTTCTATAATGTATAAGATGTTATTTATAAATAATAAAGAGTTTTTTAGATACACATTACGGCTAATGAAACAAGCACACAACAGTTGGTTGAAGCCCGGAGGATTTCATCAAAATTTATAAGGTGATAAGTGTTAAGAGATAAATCTCACATCGAATAAAAATGAAAACATAGACCAATTTATAAAGACTTGAGCTAAAAAGTTAACTTTTATTTCTTACATATATCTTTCTCATAAATTAGTTTTATATTAATTCATGTATTTTTCAGTACAACAATAAATCAAATAGGGTCAGTCAATGTACAAAAGTATGTACTTTTATAACACACACCCATATATTTTTATCAGTTAACATTTAAAAAAATAAAAAAGTGCATAAAAAATGTATGAATTCTTGAAAATTTGTTAGATTACAAAATGATATAAAGTTATAACCTGAACTTAAAATAAATAAGAAATTTATTTCAAGATGCGAAAGAATAAATAATATCATACATTATTTTACATGATTTTTCTAACAAAAAATTATTCATTGAGCATAACTTATTTATATTATGTTTGATGGGGATTAAAATTAATTTTTTGGTAAATTTTGATAAAAATGATAAAAATTAATTGTTTAATTAATGTAATAATATACCTGTGAATTAATGGTAAATTTTTTGGTAATTTAATTTGGCATCTAAATTAAAAGATCAAAAGGAAATGATGTTGGATCTCTCTAAATTAATACGCCAATCGTGAATTATTCTACACAATCGTGAATTATAGGCCGGACTAATACGTAAAAAAAAAAAAATTACACATGATTTTTTTTTTTAACGATTTTTTTTTTTTTTTTTTGGGGGGAGCTGCCTTCACGCAAACTCTCAAGTGGTAAGCTAATGTTGACTTTGTCACTGTACCAACTTTTCGATGTTTCCGAAATTTGAGCGTGTAGTGCTGGATACACGCTTCAACTAACCCATTGCCATTTGAGGAAGAAAAGCCGGGTCAACTCTTCTTAATTAAATAGTCACTAGCCTAACCGAGAGACCATTTGTCAATGAAATGGGGCTGTCCCAAAAATGACATGGACTTGTAGGCTGTAGCTGGATAATTTCAAGTGAATTAAAATTGCTGTTATCGAGGAAAACAAAGGGATCGAATATGTTTATAATGATTCTAGTAAAAAAGATACAATGATGAATAGCATCGTCTTGAGGAATTTCTAGATTCCGACTACCCTGCTTTAAGAGCATGAATTAATAGAAAAAGAAGTAGATGGACCGTGAGATCAAAATTCAACATTTTGTCTTAAAAAAAAAATTAAAAAAAAATCTAAGATGGGATTCGATGGGGATAACTTATGATAAATGTAAAGACAGGATGGGCACTCACTGGGACATCCCGCTACATAAGGATCAATCACCGTTATTCAAAAAGCTGTTGGAAATCAGAAACGTTGTCCAGCAACATTCAGGGCACTCACTGGAGCCAAGAGATCTGGGTTTCGGCCAGATTATGGGGTTTATAGGGGACGACTTCTGTGTGGCTAAAGCTTATGAGTTCTTCCGCCCGAAAGCTGCCTATAGATGCTGGACAAAACAGGTATGGAAGAATTACATTACGCCTAAGCATTCTTTTGTGCTTTGGATGGGAGNCTGTTTACTATATTTGGTTGACAAAAAACAGTTTGGTTTTTGAAAATCTTACCCCGCATATTGATAGCATTGTACAACGAATCAAAACAAATGTATACAAAGTTATGTTCACTTTGTATCCAAATGTTTTGGTTTGTTACGAAACACTTATTATGGATTGATTACTACTATTTGTATTTAGGGTAAATTGATGGAGTCTGTAATACCCCTCTCTGAGTAGTTATTGTTACCTTGTTGATTTGCCCTGGAACACCCGGTGTACGTGTACTCAGGTTTGATTTATATAATTAATTATTTACAGATCAAAAAAAAAAAAAAAGACAGGATGGGCACACTGATTAGATTTAAGCATTTATTTGCTTAGAGGGGTGAATTACAAATTTCTAAGATGTTGTTTTTATTTAGCAAATAGCTGGGGAAGCATGTATTCCCAAGCGATAGGACTTCGAGTTCTAATTGGAAGAAATTATTTAAGGGGTACTGAATTTGTAGGTTGAGGATGATCTTGAAATGCGATTGAGTTCTATTTGAGTACAAAGAGAAATCAAGCGATCAAGGGCGGACCCAGCATTATGGTTCAGAGCAGCGCGAGAAAGAATTACGTAAAATATAATTTCAAATTAAATAATAACGATTATATTCAAAACGTAGTATTTTTTTTACAATTGATCATTCGGCTCCTCATACTTTGAAAAGGTTGTATAATAGTCTCGTTGTGAATTTCATTATATACATTTTTTTCAACATACACAATTAAGTTATCATTCATCCATCGATTTGGGTGGAAAGTTATAGGATAAAATAAATTGTAAAAGAAATAAAAAAAAATCTGAAAATTTAGAAACTCAATAGGGGCGACTGCACACACTGGACCTTTAATGGGTCTCCCCGTGCAAGAAATTTCAGATACATACATTCAGGAAAAAATTGAAATGAGAAACTAGAAATTGTCTAATAAAAAGTTCATCAATGTATTATTAAGATTTTATGTAGTCAACCAATTACTATTGGGAATGTGGGCTTAATTGGGCTTATGTGGTTCTCCTATCTATTGGGCTTGTGCCATTTGTGGCCCTTGGATGAGTTGCATGGCTAGGATTTAAACTTGTGAGATATTTTATCTTAGACTATGACTTTTGAATAGAAGTAGCTTCTGCCATACGACTCCCTCTCGAAGTCTCGTTTTCTCTCTGGTCCTTTGGAGCCTTTCTTCCTCCTTTTCTGGTGGTTCCCAAAATTGATCGGTTAACCCATTGATTGATGAAACTACCAGTGTGTTCTTAGGCCTGAAATAAGTGGCTAAGGGGTTGGGTTTCTCTGGGGTTCGGTAGGTCAGATTTTGGGTGCGATTCCTTGGTTTTTTGGTAGATCTTTTGGTCGATGACCCAAGCCAAGTGAAGAGGGTTCTTTACTGGTTCTTGCACTCTCTATGGACGGCGGTTTGCTTAGTGTGGGAGGCTGTTCCTGAGCCTGCATTTCAGCCGAAAAAGGAGAAGAAGAAGGCTGCTTTGTGGACGGTAAAAGGGAAGTTCCTCTCGGTTTTTGTTCTAAGTCTTGCCTTCGGTTTTACCCTGTCATTTCATGGTTTCAGATTCTGTGAAGTTTCCATTTCAGTTTTATGGTTTGATAGTATTCTGCCGTTTTCTGTAATCTGTTAATGCCATTGATATAGTCTAACTACCATATTGTTAATGCTGATTTCTGAGGTTGATTATTGAACTATTATTGATAGTTTGAGTTGTTAGAATTATGTCATTGGTTTAATGAGCCTAGAACTATATTATGCTGTACATTGTGTCTGTTATTATGCTATTAGAGTATGCATTGCTGAATTAAATTCCCAACAGGGAAAATTGCAGCAATGATCTCTTAACATTTTTAATTTTTGTAAACTTTACTCTAATCTTTAATTTAAGCCAGCGAAAGTCCCTAACTATTCATAAATGTACAGTAGAGGTCTAAATGGATGGAAACCATCCACTTGACTAAAAAATTGACTTTGACCTCAATTTTAACTAATTTTAAAAGGACGAAATGGTAATTTTATATTTTTTTACATAAACTTAAATTAAAAAACATAAAAAAAAAAAAAGAAATTTACTCCAACCATCCCCACCCTCATGAAAATTAGAAAGATCGGTGGTCGGCACTTTCTTTTCCAGTTCCCACACACATCGGTTGGCACAAAGGATAGTCACTACCCCCATCCACGACGTCGACATTGCCTCCTAAAGGCAGCCGCCATCACCCAAATATCAAAACTAAAAATTTAATCAAACCCAACAGAAATTGAAGAAACTGAAACCTCATTTACTTTTGGAATTGGGTAGAATTTGAAGGCGAAATTGGAGCAATTTGTGACACAATTGGATCAATTGACGGTATACCCATCATCGTTCGATGTTGCTGTGGGATAGTGGGTTGCCAATTTGGTGGAAAAAGAGCTCCAAATTCGTTAATTAAAGGAGACGAAACTGCCTCGTTTTGCTCCCGAAGTAGACATGTATCAATCGGAACTGTTTTGGATAAAGTCTTACCATGAACTAGAGCACCTAGGTGAGGGAAACCGGCCTGTAGTGATGCACGACCGTTGGTGTCACCGGAGTTGTCGAGTTTTGTTGTTGGACCACGCGACTCCCATGG